AGAGTAAGCGACATTGCCCAACGGATCAGAAAGCTTAAGTGAATGGGCCTGTCATATATCCACACCAGTAAAGTGTGCGGGCAAGCACCACCACTAAACGAAAGGAGGTGATGGGTGTATATTACGTCTATCGTAAACGAGATGGCTATACCACCATTTGTAGGAAGCCATGAGTTTTTATGACACTTCTACCAGTCACCTCTTACACTTGGATTGAAATGGATTCTTGGATTCTTTTACGCTCTATTTTAACTTACGACGGTTACTGTTTTTAGGAAAATACGAAAAAATGTTACATAAATTATGACAGTGTTTTCTTAGTCACATTAAACACAACCAGTGTTACCGCCGAAAACAGTTAGCGGTTTACGAACAAATAAATAGACTTCTCGTCCATTCGCAGTTAGCAGAGTTATGGATAATTGAGCGTAGCTTAGTGCGTAATGGGCGATTTTTTTTTCGTTGTAGATTTGACTTTTCGCGTGTCCTTCAACTTTTTCACTCTCATAAAAAATGTTCAACACGTTCTATGTCATGGGTGTTATTTTCTATGGAACACATTACAATACAGCTGATCATTAAGAATTAATTTTATAAATAAAAACCTTTTCAATGTAATATAATAAATTGTTTAAGTTTATGATACCCGTGATTTTGTTGTGTCTCCTCTCGGAGTAGCAACAAAAAAGTTGAAATTTTATCAAATAGTCAAAAAGCCACCAAAGCGTTTTACATTTACCAATCTCCAAAATATAGTGTACTTTTTAACCTTCTTTATTTGCTTTCGCTAAAATCTACTTAAAACAGTAGAAATCAAGCTTCAATTTCTGTCCCCGGAATTCGTCGTCATAGGAAATTCCTACAGTCACGCAAGAACTTTCTTAAATGGAGCCTTATTTTTAAATCCAATGGAGGGAAAAAAAAGAAATTCTGCTGAATCACGGCGTTTGTGACGGTAAGGATGCTTTTCTAAGTCTCTCTTGTGTAATTTGTAGTAGTATACAATAATATTACGCATTTTATCAATAATTTGTCCAACATAACCTAGAATATTAAACGTCCGAATTTTTTTTACAATTTCTCATCCAAAAACGTTACGTCAGCTGAGGAACTTTTTAATCAGAGGAATAAAAACGTGACTCATGGGAATTGTAAAGAGATGCACATTAGCGCATTGAACTAAAAAATATTTTTTTTTTAATTTTAAATTCGAAAGTCGGTTTGTCTGCCTGTTTCACGACAAACGTTGACTTTTAGACAAAACTGCTAAACAAAGGGGTATGAAGATTTTTGTATGGAGGCTTGCTTACCTACTAGTCCCCCATTTTGTTTTTTTTTCAAATCAGCGTTCACTTGAAATTCTTTCATAAATGGATACTCAGTGTTAATACAAACATAAAATGTCATAAGACAAAAACCCGTAAAGTGTCACATTTCCAAGATATTAAGCAACCTAAGTTTTACTTCTCCAAGTCGATTTTTTTTTAAATTAGCGTTCGATTAAAATACTTTCAAAAATGGATACCTGATATCAATACAAACATAAAATGTCATTAGACGAAATCCCGTAATGGGTCACGTTTGTTCTAGAGATATTAAAGTAAAATTTTGGTTGCTTATATCTTGAAAATGTGACACTTTACGGGTTTTCTTCTAATGACATTTTATGTTTCTATTAATACGAAGTTTCCATTTTTGAAAGAATTTTAAGTGAACGCTGTTTGGAAAAAAAGTCAAAATGGCGGACCAGTAGGAAGGCCAAAATCTTCAATGCCCTTTTGATTAAATTTTGTACAGATGTAGTCAAAGATGTGATAAAAATGTAGTCCATGTGAAATTATGAACAAGTCTTGGAGACAGTAGTTACTATTAATGTTAAAATTAATTTTTGTTCGTCTTCTATGCGTTTGCGCAGCGTTCATCTTTCGAAACTTTGTACACAACTGTACAAAGTTTCGAAAGATGAAAGAAACTTTGCTAGAGTGGCACGTTAACAACAACTTGTTAACGTGCCACTCAAGCGAGTTTCTATGGAAAAAAATAAAAACACCTGGAACAAATTCGCGGGCAACAGCCAATAGTAAAGTTATCTTACATATATACAGTTTTAAAATTAGAATAAATAAAAATAAAAACTAGAAGACTAGATAATATAATATTTTTTGGAGAGTGTGACTGGCGGGGTGGTATATATATACAGTCAACAACAGCTACGACTTTACGTATGTGTTACCGGCCAAACCCGATTACAGGACAAACTAGTTTTGCCGAGGCCAAACTAGTTCTTCCTTTTTACGCATAAAGCTAAATTGGGTGACTAAGCATCTAACCTATTTCCAACCAAGTTTTTTTTCTTGTCACCCAATTTAGCTTTATGCGTAAAAAAGAAAAACTAGTTTGGCCTAGGCAAAACTAGTTTGTTCTGAAATCGGCTTTGGTCGGTAACATATGTATCAAATTTCTCCAATCGACTTTGGACTTTAAGACATATGCCGTTGAGTTCAGATTTGCCAATAGAAATTTGAAATTTTGTATAAACCGTAGTTGCTGTTGACCATACCATGATAACATAGATGACGGCTCGTAATGTCTCTCTGATAACGAAATGTTTTTTCTTTTTGTAAATGTACTATCGATATTTATTTTGATTCTACTTTGATAATAGGTAAGAGCTGCAGAGTTAACAGAGTAAGAGCCAAAAAATGCCGCAGAGAGACAAAAAAGGCATAGAGAGAAAATAAAAAATTATCCAGAAAAATACGAAGCACAAAAAAAGAAGCATGCGGATTACGTAAGATCCAAATCAAAGACAATAAATGAACTAACGGAGGAAGAAAAAGTAAAACAACGCAGACGATGGAGAAATCAAAAAAGAAAAGAAAAAGAAGCACGGAAGTCGAAAACAACTATCACTCAAGAGGAGAATAATCCACCATCGTCCTCCCAAAAGACTGTGAAGAAAGTCAAGAAGGCATTAACAAGACACCATGTTGCAGTGGTCAAGAAATATAATGCTGCCCTTAAAAAAATAGCATCATTGAAAACTTAACTGTTAATAAATACAAGAAACAATTATTTCGTCAAAAACGTAAATATGAATTACAAATTATTAAATTAGAAAAAGATAAACAGACAGAATTTGATAAATTAAAAGCGAGACAAGAACTATTAGAAAGTTACTTGAAAGTGGCTTACAAAAAATGTAATAATAATAAAGAAAAACAGATTTTTAAGAAAATTACTGCAACGGACTTTATCAAAGTCACAAGAAACAAAACGTATGTGACTAAATTACTCGGTCTCAAAGGAAAAGCTAGACTCTCTAGACACTCAGCGCAAACCAAAAAATGAAGCTATAAAAAAAGAAATTGAAGAATTTTATTTGCGAGATGACGTAACTAGAATAACCGCAGGGAAAAAAGAATGTCACACTGAAAAGAAGAAAAAAGAGCATATTCGATACCTGACTAATACACTACTTAACTTGTATAAAATGTACGTAGAAGAAGGGGGTAAAAAGAAGTTTTTCAATATTTTTTAAATACAAGCCTTTCTACGTTCTATCTCCGAACATTAATAAAAGAGATACATGCCAGTGTATGAAACACGCGAATGTTGAAATGTTGTTTTATGCACTAAAAAAAAACAAAATACTACAAAAATATAAAAATCCCACAGATGCATTAAGAGATTTGTGCTGCGATGTAGAACGTGTGACAAATGTAAAACAAAAGCGTTAAATTATGAACTCAAGGAAGGGCAAGGTGATTTGAACACAGATTGGCACCAATGGGAAAGACTGAATCACCAATATCAAAAGACTGAACAAGGAACGAGTAAAACATTGACTACTAAAAAAACTGCAAAATCAAGAAAGACTGGAACCATAGCTGTACTGCAGCAAACATCTTCGAAAAAAGCTTGCCTGCTTTTAAAAAGCATGTCTTTAACTGGATTCACCAACAGCGTCAATACCAAGCTTGCATTAAGGAATTGAAACCAAATGAAGCTCTCATCCTTTGTGATTTTTCAGAGAACTATCTGTGTAAAATGTCACAGGAAGTACAGGCCACCCACTTTGGCGCTTCAAAAAATCAAATCACCCTCCATACTGGCATGATTTATTGGACAGATGCAGCTCAATCACTGTGTACTATAGCTGATAACAATTCTCACGAGCCCCCAGCTATATGGGCGCATCTGATTCCGATTATAAAAATGGTGAAAAAAAATCACCTTTGATAAAAGTCTTGCACGTATTTTCAGATGGACCATTCATCTCAATATCGGCAGAAGATAAATTTTTATCTACTTAGTTTATTTACAAGAAAATTCCAATTTGACTACGCAACATGGTCGTATTCAGAGGCAGACCATGGAAAAGGTGTTGCCGACGGTATAGGCGGATCAGTCAAAAGAGCACTAGATCGTGAAGTTTCATATGGCAAGGATGTGATGGATGGACAAAGTGCTTACGACATTTTGACTACACGTATGGTATCTGTAAAATGCTTTTACATACCAGAATTGGAAATAGAAAATTTAGACAAAATCACGCCCAAAGATCTGAATACTTTGGTCGGAACGACCGATCGGTCGGAATAATATGCCAGCCTCCTCTAAACAGCATCAACTACAGGAATATTTCTCGTTATTGTGGGTGTAATAATAGAGATTTATGCAAATGTTTCTCACCGAAAACTCACGAATTTAAAACAAAGCACAATGAAACATATAACAACCAAAAATCTGACAACCAAAAGCATTTTAAAAACTTAGCAGATCAAAACGAATGCACAGTATCTGCTGCTATAAATGTTATAATTAACAATCAAAAGCATAAACCATTTAATTCAAATCTTGAACGCGTATCAGATATTGTTCAAATTCATGATTCAGAACAATTTGATATGCTTAGTACAAATGTAGTCACATTCAAAGCTGATATTCATGGTGAGAACCAAAGGCATTTAAAAAATAGTAATAATCAAAATAATAACATGGTAAATTCAGCTAGTAAAGAAAGTATCAAGCTAATAAATAAAGAGTTGTATACAATTCTCCCACATGACTTTGAAAGCATTGTTCATTATAACGTTCAAGAATCAAGTGATGTGGTGTTTGACAAAAATATGATGATATCGGAATTTGAAAGAAGCAATATTTATTATGATGATATAGAACTTTCGTCGTTAAATATTAGTGATGAAACGATTATTGATTCAAATAAATGTGATGATGTAATTATAACAACAGAAGACGAACACATCATACCACTTAACAAGAGCAATGATGTGATTATTATATCTTTAAACGAAAAAAATGAAGACATGACGCAAAGTATTGAGAATAGTGAAGTGATGAATAATTCTTCTAATAAAGAGAATACAACAAAAATATATGGTTCAAAGAAACGCAAACTTTCTTCTTTGCACCCATGTGATGCCAGTAAATCCAAAATAAAAATAGAAGCTAATGAACAAAAACATAATAGAAAATATCAGCAATCACAGCCAAAATCCATAAGATGTGCTATCACTCGTACTTTGAAATGCCATGAATGTAAAGCTCAGATTCCGTTTACTAACAGTATGAGAAAATGCATAGCCTGTAAAATGTTGTCTTGTACCACATGCGCTGGCAGAGAAATAATTGGTTTTGATGACTGTATCTGCGATACTTGTTTTGGAAAGGATGATTTAAATTAAGTTTTTGTTTATTTGTTTCTTTAGTGGTAAGTAAAAGTTTTTAGAGGCTACATTTTGATTATGCCTGACTGAAATCAGACTGAATAAATGAGTGTAAACTGTAAGTACATACATATTTTATCAATGTTACGATTATTAAAATGACATACTACATATTGTTATATTTCACATAAGTTGATAGGATTACAATGAACGAACCCTGATCTAAGTGCCTTTTTACTGACTTCAAAAATTGAAAAGGAGAGGGTTATCTATTCGTCGCGTTTTTTTTTAAATATTTATGTACACTGATTACTCAAAAACGGCTGAACCGATTGAAGTGATTCAAACGTTATAACAAATCAAGTTCTTACCAAGTTGGTACCATTTTTTGAAATTTTGAAATCGGTTCAGTAGTTTTCAGGAAATCTTAAAAATACTGTCTTTTTCGTTACCACTTTATATAAATTTAAGACGGATGTTCATTGATTGATGCGGTTTATATGTGTAGTGAATCCTAACCTACCTATTTACAAGTGATGCTTTAAAAAGAGTGAAATAAAAATCGGGCGTGAAACATGTACAATTTTTGTTTTTTGTTCTTTTGTTTAAATCAGCCCAACTTCAAAGTACTTACGTTACTTGGTATGAATATGAAGGCGGTTTTAATTTTGTTTATAAATATATTTTTTAGTAAATAACGTTGTTACATAGTTTTTAACATAAAGTAACAATTTATGTTTGCCTAATTAACTCACAGTTGGTCATAAATATTTGCAAACGGGAACGCAGCTTAACTCTTTCCTCTGAGTAAATGCTCGTTCCTATGAGTTATTGTCTACCAAAATAGAAGACTTAAAATTTTAATTATTTTCAACTTTAAGGGCGAAAGTGCCATTTTTATTTTGATAATTATATAAAATGATAATGTTTTGTTAATGACATAGAACTATAATTTACATATAGGGTAGACCGAGGCGAATCGGATCACAGGGCGAATCGGATCAAAATAAGAAATCTGTTGATAATTCAAATATCGCATTCACATAGAACGCACTCAACCGGCGTTTTGCGTATCTCCTCTCACCCCGCACCTCCCGACATAGGCAGTATTTCGATCGCACTTGTGAATCAGTGGCGACGCCGCTAGTCAGCGACTCGGTCGTTTGTGTGTGTCGCAATTTTGGCGCTCATCTAAGGTACGTACTTACGATTTCTTTGTGTCATATTGCGGATTTGTGTTATAACTCAACTATATTGGTTTATATTGTTAAGCAAGGTGTTTATATTAGAGAACCAATTCGCTTTTAAGTATGATCTTAGAGGTTAACGTCTAAAATATTTATTTCAAAAGTCTTGATTATGGGGCTAATCGGATCATATCGTCAGGGGCGAATCGGATCACACTTTTAAACTGATTTATGACATGTTTGAAGTTATTGATTTATATTTATTTCATTGTAGATGGTTCGCACGTACAGAAGAAAGACTGATGCCGGAGAATGGTCTCAAGAAAAAATGAAAGAGGCTGTAAATAAAGTCCAGAACAAAGAGTTGACCTTACGTAAGGCTGCTGAGATTTTTGCAGTACCGTTCACGAGCTTACAGAGAAGAGTTACTTTATCCAGGGGCATTATTAAGCGTCGAGGTGGACAGCCAGCTTTAGATGAGAACGCAGAAAAGAAGTTAGCTGACCGGCTATTGCACTTGGCAAGTCGTGGCTTCGGAATTACACCCAAAGCGGTACGTAAGTACGCGTTTGAATTTGCAGAACGTCAAAATATAAAACACAAATTTGACAGAAATGCTGGAATGGCTGGCCAGGACTGGTTTCATCGCTTCATGCAAAGAAATAAAAAATTAACTATTCGGAAGCCGGAGGGTCTGTCAAGAGCAAGGTGTGATGGTATGTAGAAGGAAAAAGTAGCAGAATTCTTTAATACTTTGGAAACAGTAGTAGATAACAACAATTTAAGAGGAAAACCTGAATGTGTATACAATGTTGATGAAACGGGTATGCCGCTTAGTAACCGCTCACCCAATATTATAGCCCAAAAAGGTGCTAAAGATGTTGTCAGCATGACTAGTGTTGAACGAGGTGAAAATGTAACCGTTCTAGCCTGTATGAATGCAGCAGGACAGTACATACCTCCATTTGTTCTATTCAAAGGTGTGCGTAAACGTGACGATTTTCTCCTAGGTATGCCACCTGGTACTGAAGTTGCCATGACAGAAAACGGCTGGGTCACCGAAGAAGCTTTTAAGTTGTGGCTGCAACATTTCAATCGCTACCGGACCCCAGGAAAAGTAGTTCTAATTTTGGATGGGCATGCGTCTCACACCAGCTACTCAGTGGTAGACTTGTGTGACTCTTTCGAAATTGAACTTGTACTTCTTCCTCCACACACATCACATGCCCTGCAACCGCTCGATGTATCGTTTTTCAAACCGCTCAAAACCTATTATCACCAACAAGCTACAGCATGGCAACATTCACATCCCAATCAAGGAATCACAAAAGTCGCTTTCGGAGCACTTTTCCAACGGGCTTGGAATCAGGCTGCCACTGTTGGGAATGCTACAAAAGGCTTCGAAAAGACTGGAATATTTCCACTAAACGCCAATGCAATACCTGACCACAAGTTCATCGGTGATCAAGAGTCGGACATTGTAGAGTCCCAAGTCCAGTCCCCAAGTTCCCAAAAATGTAGCTACACGTGCAAGCCACAAATACAAAACCACTTGATAATATAGTGCCATCCACAAGTTCACAACAATCTGACGAAGCCCAGGCTCCCACCTGTGCAGAAATAATTAAAGAAATTCTTCCATCACCTTTAAAGTCACCAATTGCTTCTAAAAGAATTCGTAAAGTTTCAAAACTGGCCTTGCATTTAACATCACCTCAGAATAAGACTACTCTTCTCGAAAAAGAAGCAAAGAAGAAATTTAAGGTAGACAATAAAACCAAGGAAAATAAGGAAAAGGCTGTGGGCAAAGAAAATACTATGAAGAAAATGAAGAATAAAGCAAAGCTTGCGATAAAAATTAAGAGTTCATCTCCAAAACATAGAGAGTGGCACTGCATTTACTGTTCCGAAATATTCGTTCATCCACCATCAGAGGATTGGATTCAGTGCAATGCCTGCGAAGAATGGTGCCACGAAAAATGTGCTGATATGGGGGAGGAAAAAGGACCATATATATGTGAATTATGTGCCGATAATTAAAATTGATCTCATTATTAATTTTTTTACTGATTCCAAAGCTATAGTCATAAGAAACTTAAAATTTTGTTACCTACATGTGTACGATCCGATTCACCCCGAAAATTGGGGCGATTCGGATATTTTTCTTTTTTTTAGTTTTTAATAGCTAATTAAGAGAATATATGTATGATTTAAGTTTTCAAATGTTTATTTCATAGCTGATTGTTACTTCTTACGTTTTTATCAATAAAAATAACATTATATAACACTTTAGTATGATTTGCTCAACCTCAAAGAAAAAGTGATCCGATTCGCCTCGGTCTACCCTACACTCAAAATGTACTAAAAAACAAACAAATGATACTTTTTTCGGTCAAGGCGTTACTCATAGGAAGTGATTTTAGGTGTAAGTTTATGATTTATTATCTAAACGTGTAAAATCTTTAGTTTTATGACAATTTGATTACGTGTTCCTTTAAATAAATATAAATATAAAATTATTTGTGACTGCAATTTTACTAACCTAACCCAACAATATCGTGATGCAGAGGAATCATCTAGCTATCCGTGGCGCTTAAAACACGTATTATTTGAAAAACTAAGGTTTTATAGATGCAATGAGTTAATTTTTAATTAAAACATTTACTAAAGAATCGTAGACTCGCAGTCTCAATTTAAATTTGTACAAATGCATTATTTTCGTTACTCTCAAAACTTTTTACAACGAAAAAAAAATCGCCCTAATGCATTATGGCCACAGAGCCCATATACATAAGTCTTTGCAACTTTGTAATAACTCAACTGTCCTCTTGATAAAAGACACATAACTATGTAAATTGTGCGTTGCAAGGGGTAGACTTATGACCCTGAAATCCCCAACCACTGAAATCATACTTTCTTTCGACTTAATCGAGTTTACTGCAAAATGTAGTTTAAATTTACTTATTATTTTTTATTTATTATTATTATTTATTTAGTTAAGTTTTAATTTTTTTTTAACTAAATTCGGTTTCACGATAGTACCACGGAAATATTCCAACTTTAATGTAATTGACTTTGACAGCAAATGTCGAATTTCACGAAGATTGTGGCGCTGCGTATAAGGGATATCTTTAGTTAGAAATACTATTCTTAAACCATAGTTTAAGCCCGGGACAATTAATAAATTCGTTCAACAACTTTCGATTTTTCAATTTCTCTGGCGTACAATACTTGGTCCTAATAGACCTCGCATACAAGTGCCTTAGCGTCATTTTATTCTAGAGGTGTATGAACTACATACTACCCCTTTACATCGACCATAAACTGTGCATCGTGGATCTTGTGTGTTTTATCTATATGCTTCCTCAGCTCGTGACTCCTCACGAAATTGGCCGGACATTCCATACACTGCATCCTAACACCCTTGCCGTGCCTCCGTTTCGCGTGCTCCGAACGACGTGACGATGATATGAATTTCTCCCCGCATTCCTCACACTCGTACGGCTTTTCACCCGTGTGCCTACGTCTGTGGTAAACGGCCGCCATTTTTGATACTAGTTTCGCGCCACAAATGTCACACCCGAAGTTCCGTTCTCGAGTGTGTACGACGCTGTGCTCTGCCAAACGAGTTGGCGTGTAAAACCTTTTCCCACACCATTGGCACTGGTGAGGCCTGACATCCATATGGATCCAAACAATGTGATTTTTGAGTTGCGGTCTCGAGTGGTATATTTTTCCACAGTGGTCGCATATGAAGGTTGCTGGATCGCGTATGTTGGAGCGGCGACTTCTTGGCACTAACTTTAAATCCGGCTTTGCTTCCGGCTCGCACTTCGATCGATGTTCTCTGTAACAGCCTCGGTTTGTGAACTGAGCTCCGCACGCTCTGCAAGTTCGAACGGCGTGCATTTGTGAATGTACTTCAAACGACGCGGTTCTCGAGAAGGTCCGTCCACAATCACCGCAAGTCAAAGCACCTGGTCTATGTGCCATTTTCGCGTGCGTCATCAATTGATTTTCATCGGTGAATAACATTGGACAGTCCCTGCAAAGGTGGACTTTTTCTCCATGTACTTTCTGAAGATGCTCCTTCATCTGCAACCCCCTGAATAGCACAGCTCCACATGTTATACAAGCTTCTTTCTGTCCACTATTTTTCAAGTGCACATTTAAATAATATGGACTGAGGAAACTCTTTCCACAATCAGTACAGTCACAGTTTGGTCCTGTACGTGCCGTCCGGGGTTTTTTCTCCGTAACAACAGCTCTCTTCTTTGACAGTCGATTCACGAGAGATTTAGAGTCACCTGAGAATTCATTTGCGGTTAGCACTGAGAGGTCATTCCTCATAATTGTGTAAAAAGAGTGAGGGGTGTTGTTAAATTCTGTTACACCCTCCAAGCCGTCTAAGCAGTTGGACCACATTCTCCGCGAATTCCTAACCAAGACACGGAACTCGAAAGCGTTGATGGCGGTATCCGTGCACGGGACACACAGACCACGAGGACATAAAGATTCTTCTACCACCTGAAATAAAAACATAATTAATTTTCTTAATATCTCCTAATCGAAAATGGTTGAAAGATCAAAATTTTCCTCATAAAGCATTATTTTTTATTGATTCATAATATTTGATTATTTTAGTATGTACATTTGTTTGTACACAATTATTTCCTAATGTAAAGTTATTGCATATTAAGTTTTATAGCTTTGATGACGTTAATTTTGTAATAAAACGTAAGCTCTCTATTGTGTTATTTAATTTACTAAATTTAACATACATAATGAAGTATGATTTGTACTGCAGAGTACATATTATATATAACATATAGAATCTATCATTGGATCTGTAATTTATCGGATTACAAGGTACTCTTTTGTAAAAAAAAGTCCGGACTACAGGAGCCTGTCTTAGGCAGTACTCTATAATCTGACAAATTCGATAGTCCGACACTGCCCTGCAAAATTATTGTCGGATTACCGGGGGTCCACTTTATATAAAATTTAAGTGTCCGTCTTTAATATCGAAATAAATACTCTTTATTGAGATCAAGGAGTTATTTTCATGCAATTAAAACATTAATAACAGTTCCAAAAACTTTCGTCTGTCTGTCTGATGTGATGTAACTTCACGAACAGATAGAGCAAGGCCAGGAGCCAGGAGTGACCTAGATCATGTTTTATCCGAAAAACTTAAGCATTTTTTGTGAAATCAAAAACTTGATAAAAATGATGATTAATTTCAACTCAAATGACGCTACATTAATGGACTCAACAAAGGAAGCCGGGGTAGATAGATGTTTTGAACATAAATTGCCTCATTGATTGGAATTTTGCCATAGCTGCCACGCTTGGCAAGCGGGTTGGCAACCGCAGTTTATATTTTAGTCGCTAATCTAAATATTTGGTGCGTCCATTAGTGATTGAATTACTCCTGAACGACTTGACGTTTACGTGGTAGAGCCATTCTGCAGTCTTTACGTGGTAGAGCCATGCTGCAGTTACCTTAGTAAGTTGTAGCACGAATGGGTCGGCTCGACCGGGGAAGGACCACGCTCTCACAGAATACCAGCGTAAAATATTAGCTTAATGCTGCTGTGTTTCGTATGGTGAGTGTAGAGAACCGGATACCCTTTTTACTGGAAACGAGGCATTCCATCTTAGTCCTCACGGGTGACAACGCGTCTGCATTTGGATTCGTAATCGAGGATAGATGTAGATGTCTATGGGCCACAGCAACTACTTACCATCATGTGGACTGTGTGCTCGTTTGTCACCCTATTCTTTAAAAAAAAACTTGAATGACAGCATCCGTATTGCTGCATCGTTGCAGTATCCGTATCCGTACTCCAGTATATTTGAATTGCTGCCCGTTGCCCCTCGGGTATTTTATGTCACGCGTAAACGAAATCTTTATACACTGCCATCAAAATTAAAATAAAAGTTAAATAAGATTTTAAGTAGGTATTAAAAACGATAAAACGATGACATCATTACACTACATTCTCTTAAATTTACATAGAAAATTCTGTTTTGCACGTCTAACAGGTATATCAAAAAATAATTGAAAATTATATATCTAATATTTTTTTAGGTTAAATATTTCGCGATACATCGAATCCATTCAAGTCGGTTACCTGCACAAACATTATAATTGAGCTGTGATCTCAATTAGGTACAGTGAGCAACTTGATAGTGTTTCTTAAGCTGTGACGGTCTGATAAATTTAGCGGGACACTTTTCACACCCATGCGGAAAATCTTTAGTGCTAATATGTCGTCGCTTGATGTGATCCAGGCGTCTAGATGACGAGAGGAAGCGATCACCACAGACGGAGCACTCGTACGGTTTTACACCTGAATGGTTTCTCTGGTGAAGATTGAACCCCAACTGTGTAAGCATCTTAGCTCCGCAATAGCACTGGAACACCTTTCTCTCTGTCATGTGGATGGACTCGTGTGCCCTGTGATGACCTAGGTTAGAACTCCTTTTGCCACATTTCTGACAGATGAAAGGCAGCACGTTTAAGTGCTTCTGCTCTATGTGCGTCCTTAACGACTCCTTCTTCTTGTACTTGCTACCACAGTCGTGGCACTCGTAGAGAGATTCAGGTTGTCGCTTCGAACCTCCGCAGCGGCTGATGTGATACTTGTAACATCGGCGATTTTCGAAACTGGAGCTGCATGACTGACAATGGAATAAAGTGTGGGCATACATATGAGCGTTTAAGGCGCGATCATTTATAAAACCATTGTTACACACGTGACAGACGTATGAAAACACACTATGAGCTGTTTGTGTGTGCTGTTCCAATTCATGTTCCTCTTGAAAAAGTTGGTGACAACTCTTGCAGTGATATAAATGTATGTTGTGAGCGTTCGCCAGATGTTGGTGCAGTTTCTCCCTACCGACAATTTTTCCACAGTGGGTGCAAGCCCGTTTCATGGTCATCCTCAAATGTTGGTTCAAATAGCTTGGCAGTGTGAACTCCTTTCCGCAATCCTTGCATTTCCATCTCAGACCATTCCTTTTACTCTTAAATTTCTTTACAGTTCTCTTTTTATCTCTACTTGGCGGTTGAGGTTTTTGATTCAGTTTGCTGACTGCTTGGGGTACAGTTCTCACTTCTTTCTGAACTTTTAATACAGGTAGGAAGTCTGTTTTATCATAGAAAATGAAGTATGTTTTATCTTCTGCGTTAGGCGTATCGATTTGGGAGAGGCAGGAGGTGATGTGTGACCATTGCTTGGCCGACTCCAGGCAGATCGTTCGGAAATGTATCGCGGCAATGGCCATTTTTGTGCAATTGGAGCAAACGCCGCGCGGCAAGTCCCACGCCTCCAACACCTGAAACCACGCCTTCCATCAGTCCGTTCCTCCCGAATCAACAAAACTTTGCACTAAAAGAAAGTACCGCTGGGTTTTTAGCTGGTTCTTCCCAGAACAGAGATTTTTTCTGAACCAGTGGTCAAAGTGAAAATAGACTTTTAATAAGAACCTTTACTTATTCTTGACGAATAGTAGGCTATCTAGCATTATGCTATATTTCACAGCTAGTCTTAAATATTGAATTTAGTTAAGCAAGTCATAAGAAAAAAAGGTTCCCGAACTGCCTTATCCGCGTGCAGGCGTACCACGGTTAGTGATACAAAAATAATTGATCTTTACTCCATTCATCTAAAAAAAAGTTCGCGATACCATATGCCTATTTCTTATACATAAGTTACATTAAGGTATTTTGTGACAAAAAATTACTTAAATTTAAAAAGTGATTTATGAGCGTTATTATTAGACATGGCATATTAATCTTTACGAACGAATGGAATTGTCTTGATGAAGTTATTTCTTCATCAAGACAATTCCATGTAGATAAACTTCGCTCATATTATACGACTCGGAGCGCCAACGACGCATAGCTCTAAACTTTCGATGAGAACCGAGACAAACCAGCAGGAAACGCTTATACCTATATAAGCAAGATATCACATCGAGCGGATAAGACGCATCGTGATATACGCGGGTAAAGGCGCGGGGCACAGGTCATCATCATCATTATTACAGCCCTTCACAAGTCCACTGCTGAACATAGGCCTCCCCCAAGTAATGCCACAAAGCACGGTCCTGAGCCACCTGCATCCATCGGCTTCCTGCATGTCTTACCAGGTCGTCATTCCATCTAGTGGGGGGTCGCCCTACAATTCGCCTACCGGTACGAGGCTGCCACTCGAGAACCTTTTTTCCCCAACGATTGTCGGTTCTTCGAGCTATATGGCCGGCCCATTGTCACTTCAGCTTACTAATCCGTTGGGCTATGTCGGTCACTCTGGTTCTACTGCGGATATCTTCATTTCTAAGTTTATCACGCAGATAAACCCCGAGCATAGCCCTCTCCATAGCTCGCTGAGCGACTTTGAGCGTCCTCATACGGCCAGCACCAGCAGTGAAGGACCACGTCTCGGTTCCATAGGTCATCACTGGCAACACGCACTGGTTGTACAATTTAGTTTTCAGGTTTTGAGGTATACCTGACGAGAAGATGTGTCGTAATTTCCCGAACGCTGCCCAGCCGTGTAGAATCCGTCGATTGACCTTTCGGTCGAAGTTGGACTTACCTAGTCGGACTATTTGTTCCAAGTAAACGTACTAGTCAACAACTACCGGCATAGGTGTGATATGGAAGTTACACATGATCTTCGTTTTGTCCATGTTCATCTTAAAACCTATCCTTTGGGAGGCACTATTAAGGTCATTGAACTAGTGCTTAAGTCCTCCAGCGATTCTGCCATAAGGACTATATCGTCGGCAAATGAAGGTGAGTGATGTACTCGCCATTGATGTTAATACCGTATCCTTTCTAGTCCAGTAACTTGAAAACGTCTTCCAATGCAGCGGTGAAGAATTTCGGGGATATAACATCACCCTGTCTTACACCTCTCCGCAGTTGGATAGGTTTCGTACTCTAGTTCTGTATCTGCCATTGTAGCCCTACTGTACAAACACTTCAGCACTTCGATATACCGGTACCGCTGAAGAGACTGGTAGCACCGCCCAAATTTCGACGGAATCAAATGCTTTTTCATAGTCCACAGACGTCAGGCAAAGTGGCTGATTGTACTCGTCTGACTTCTGTACAATTTGTCGAAGGGTATGTATGTGATCTATGGTACTAAAGCCTTTTCGGAAACCGGCTTGTTCGGGAGGCTGGAAGTCTTCGAATCTGCGCGCGAGACGATTCGTAATGACTCTCGAAAACAGCACGTAGACGCGGCTCAGAAGGGATATCGGTCTGTAGTTCTTCAAGAGGGCGTACTCACCTTTCATTAAGAACAAGACCACCGCACTTCTGCTCCACGCTTAGGGAGTAGTGCCTCCATGGAGGACGGAAATAAAGAGCTTCTGAAGGACTTCAAGTACCGGTTTTCCACCAGCTTTCAGTAGCTCTGCTGTAATTATATCCTCAGCCGGGGACTTGCCGTTTTAAGGTGCTGGAGAGTCATTCTGATTAGAATTAGAACAAACAGCGAGATTTCGCTCAGACTGACGTCCGGGATATCATCGAAACAGTGTCGGATAAGACTTGCTCTTGGATTGTTACTCACACTTGCGTGTGGCTCCAACGATGATGTGTACAGCTGCCCATAGAACCTCACAATCTCACTCAGAATCTCAGGTGTCCCGGAAACGATGCTGCCACACTCAGTCTTCAGCTTTGACATTTGGCTCTTACTGGCAGACAGATCTCAGGCAAAGACTTTGGAGCCCTGAGTCCGCTCAATCGCTTCTTCAATACGAGATGTATTGACGTTGCGTAAGTCCTGACGCATGCATTTGGAGATCCGTCTGTTCAGTTCCTTGTATACTGCCAAATCTGCTGACGACTGCAGCTTCATCTCCCGTCTAACATCCATGAGATTACGAGTGTGATCGGAGAGTTTTTTTGTTCTTCTGCGGTGGGTCTTGCAGTACTTAGCTCCGACCGCATGGACAGTTTCCACGAGCTTATCATTCATATCGTCCAGAGTATTGCATTCTTCTAGGCACTGAAAACGGTTTTGTAATTCGAGCTGAGTTTGGATCTTGGATTAGCGTTCGAGCCTTTTTTTATAGAATAGGGTGACAAACGAGCACACAGTCCACCTGATGGTAAGTGGTTGCTGCGGCCCATAGACATCTACATCTATCCTCCATTAAAAATCAAAATGCAGATGCGTTGTCACCCGTGAGGACTGAGATGGAATGTCTCGTTTCCAGTAAAAAGGGTCTCCGGTTCTCACCATATGAAATACAGCAGCATTAAGCTACTATTTCACGCTGGTATTCTGTGAGAGCGTGGTCCTTCCCCGGTCGAGCCGACTCATTCGTATAGTTGTATACTACTAATATAACTGCAGCATGGCTCTACCACGTATAATATGCCTAGTTTTGCGTTGAAGTCACCTTTCAACACCACCATATAGTGGGTTTTGGAGGAATGCATGGCTCTAGAAATATCCTCATACATTTACTCCACCTCATCATCGGGATGTGCCGAGGTTGGTGCGTAAACCTGTATGACCTTCAGCGAATACCGTTTTTCACACTCCATATCTTTACAACGTTGTTGACGAGAGACTTGTGGACGATAAATCCGACACCTCCTTGGGACAGATGGTCGCCCTTCCGGTGATAGAACAAGTTGCCGGACTCGAGGATTACCGTGTCCTCCCCCTTTCTTCGGACTTCGGATAATCCAATAATATGCCAGCGCAACTTGTCTACCTCTTCTTCCGCTCCAGTATCTTCTCGTCAGTTCTCAGGGTGCGTGCGTTATATGTTGCCAGGTCGAGTCGTCGTAGGTGGCAACCGAACCTCCACCGGAAATTCTTAGCACCACCCCCTGCCTCGCCGATACCATGGTCGCCACCGTAGCCAGGAATAGCAGGGCCGCCGGGGACTGGGGGCCGTTTGTTTGCGTCGTTGCTCATGGGGGGATATTTGCCATAGTTGCCACGCTTGGCGAGCGGGTTGGCAACCGCAGTTTTTTATTACGTTATTGTTGTTATCAGGAAGATGCTGCTGCCCATCTCCTGCCTGTCTCCCTCTGTCGCCTCTTACGACACCCACGGGAAGATATGGGGTAGTGGATATTCTCAACCGCCACTACACGGCCACGGGGCACAGGTAGTTATTTACAATCTATTTATCCATTACAGCCTAAAAAGTCCCATACTGAATATGGGCCTCCCTCCTAATCAAAATATCCCTATAAAATTAAAAGAGAAAAATTCTAGTGCACAGTGTCTCCAAAACGAGAAGGTTCTATATTTGACGCATACGTTTTTAAATAATATATAAATTTCTCGGTTGAAAAACGGTTGAATCGTTTTCGACGATACTTCCTATTGTGGCAAATAAATAATTTATTATTATTATTATTATTGGGGTATCTATATAGTTTTCTCATCTTGGTTGGGTTCTATAAATATATAATTGTAAATGAAAATGAAACATTAGTGAGTGAGACAATGTCAGTATAACAATATCCACTGCCCCACATCATCCCGTGGGTGTCGTAAGAGGCGACAGAGGGAAACTAATCAGGAGATGGGCGGCAGGGTGTTCCTATTAATGATTAAAAATGAAAAACCGCAGTTGGCAACCCACTTGCCAAGCGTGGCATGCCTCCTATGAGGCAATCTATGAAGAGGACTCTGTTAAGCAGTGGACTTTAATAGGGCTGTATGGGTAATCAACGGCTTAATTCATACAATATTTCTGTTTTCTGCTTCAATAATGACAAACTATATCACAGCCATGTTCCATGTTTTGTTTATTTACATAAAATAGTTATTTTTAAAACTAGAAATCTTTAAAAATGGTTAAAGAAAACGTACAGAAATAACCGCAATCCGTCTTATATTGTAGTTGATATAAATTTTAATTCGTCCAGTTTTGGAGGAAAAATTCGTCAATTTTTCATGTTCGGGTACAGCATTTATTTTTAAATAGAATTAGGGTGACAAACGAGCACACAGTGCACCTGATGACAAGTGGATGTCGTGGCCCATAGACATCTACACCCACCTTAGATTAAGAATCAAAATGCAGATGCGCTGCCAGCCGTGAGGACCGAGATGGAATGCCTCGTTTCCAGTAAAATAGGGTCTCCGGTTCTCTCCACTCACCATACGAAAGCAGCAGCATTAAGCTGCTATTTTACGCTGGTATTCTGTGAGAGCGTAGTCCTACCCTGGTCGAGCCGACCCATTCATGCTGCAACCACAATATAGCTGCAGCAGGTAAAAATTATAGCATAGATTGTTAGTCTTGTTCTTCGAATTTCTTCCAACCCCGATATTGTCTTATGATTTGTGAAGGTAAATTCAAATATATGTTATCAACAGAGAGATATTTTATATACAATTATTTTTCAAAGTGAAATTTTTTTTTATATAATTTGAAATATAAGTACAGGGTTATTTTTTTAAAGAGAAGCTAAATTTTAAACTTAAGTTCAAATATTTAAATAATAGCATACCATTATCGCAGTTTTTAAAAATACAAGTAAATAAGGCTTCTTATTTTATTTGAAATTATCCCAAATTAAATATGATTTATGGGCAACAAAGTTTTTGCCCACCGATAGACCCTTATGAATGTGTGCATGCACAGTAAAATCAGTTAAAATAATGGATTACCATGCATTTTGAATTTAAAAATTAAAAAAAAAAACAGAATCTTTGAGATGTTAATTAATTTTTCTTCACCATTTGCCTACATTAATAATTATTCTGAGAACTTTCTCTACAAAATTTTGGTCGTGTCTTTTACATTTTTTGGTCAGTTAACATTTTCTGATCAAATAACTAAAGCAATTTTTAAAATAATAATGTTCTCCTGATCGGAAGATGATGTAATAATATTTTTATTTTGTCTCCTATAGTTTCGCCAAAACTTCGTAGTAATAAAATGACAACACCGGATAATCAGACTAACCTACAAAGTAACGAATTAAAAAATTGTGTTTTTATAAAATAATAGTAAGAAAACTTATTGATGAAAAGTGATCTTGGTGTTATTATACGGTTTTCTCAGATAATTGCGACACAATTTAACAGCACAAACCGGCATAATTAATTATTTTTCGTGAGCACGTTATCCCAGTGATTCAAATTACACTGATGTAGGTAAGAAGCGAGTCTACCAATTTTAGTAGACTTTATTTGGGCCGTTCTGTACGGACAATGTGGCATCTAGTCTACTACTCTATACTCAAAGTTAGGGAGTAGTATATTGTAAAATTATCTTGTATAGGATTCCTCACAGATTGACTCATTGCATTTTGCCATAGTTGCCACGCTTGGCAGGAGGCTTGTCAACCTGTATTTTTTATTTTAAGTTGTTATCAGGGAGATGCTGCGGCCCAACTACCGCGTCCCGTGTGACCTTTGCCTCTTACGACACAATTTTTAATTGGTTCGATTCCCAGCTCGGGCAAGCTTTTTAAAAAACGTTTGAATGTGGTAATTCTGGAGTGAAATTTTATATCTTCAATATTTGATGTACAGTAAAAGCTCCTTATTCGCGTTTTCTTTATTCGCGGATTAAAAAAATGCGACCAAATTCCTATATTGGAGGCTAAAAATCTCTTTATTTGTGAATCCAATCGGTACATTGGTACATACATATTAATAATAGGGCTTCCAATAGGTATCCAATCCAATATACTTTGTAAAAAAGTAAAATAGACCTTATTACAACTATGCCTAAAGTATGTTATTAAATGATACCGCCGCTGTGTTGGTTCAGCCTTTGACATAAGTTGCCTTCGTCACGGTCAGTGTTTTTGAAAATGTAAACAAACAGAATGAAAGCAACTTTATTACTCAATGCATCAAGTATAATTTTAAATGCTGCTGCCACATATTATACGTACCGTCCCTTGGTAAGAGCCGCTTTGCGTGTATTATTGTTTCATCTTTAAAATACGTAATAATAATTGTGATCAAGTATCACATCTCTACCACTGCTGTCTTCCTAAATTATACTGTCGACTAAAAAAATATGAAAAACGAGTTTCAACAAGCACTGAAAATGTGACATTTAATTTGGAAAATCTTACTGAAGGCTTAAGAATGACAAATGAGTTTAAAAAAAAAACAAAAAAAAAAAACAGCTTTTTGACAGATGACCTTTGTGATTTCTTTATGAAAATCGATCTGTCTATGGAACAAAGTCTTATTTTTAAGAGGAAAATTGTTAATGCAACTGCTGAATATCAGTCTGAATTGAAGCTCTTAAAAACTACTAAGCAAGAAAAAATTAAAAAATTCTTTAAACTATTGCCTAGGCCTGAAGATAATTTCAAAAACTTTAATAATTTTTTTCTATTTTGTCACCTAGGAACGCATCCCCTATAACCCCATATAAACTACCATTCCATAGTAACGGTTTCTGTATTCACGGCATATTTACGGAACATATAGCCCACGAATAAAGAGCTTTTACTGTACTATGTCTGTGTATTTGTTGTAGTGTATACTCTGTGTTCTGTTTATTTTTTCTAACCTGTATACAGTATATGTATTATTTTAATTCATAATATTAGCTTATACATAATGCATGCCATGGTAATATATAATTAAGGCAACATTTAGTTTTTTATCATATAACTAATAAAAATATTGTAAAATAATATGTCTCTTGTTGGTTATCCTAAACAAATAAATTAAAATTATTTACTGAAGATGAAGACATAAAATCACATTTAGAGACCTATCGTTAAAATCTAAGTTGGTTCCATTACATCACCAAGGTCTGTTATACACTTTAGGTCTCATTTCCTTCTTTGCTTTCTTTACCATCGACAGCGGTTGTTGATGTGTTCGACTGTGATGCAGGAGACCTCGACAACTAGCAAATTTTTCATGACACTGGGTACACTCAAACTGAGGGTCATCCTTTTCTACATTATGTACTGACACTATATGCTTCTTAAGTCTGTAAGGGAGACGGAATCTAGCGGGACACTGCTTGCATGCATGTCTGAGTACAATCCCTGAGCTCTTATGAGTTTTACGTATATGCTCTGAACGTCTTGAAGATGCTGAGAAAGTCTCCCCACAGTACTGACAAGCATACGGTTTCTCACCACTATGGAGACGTAAATGCTGAATAAATCCTAATTTCGTTTTTAATGTTATACCACAGTGGTCACATTTATAAATCTTGACCGACTCATGCCTCTTCAAGTGCTCAGTCATATGTGCAGCTGCTAGGTATTTCCCGCAGTAAATGCAAGGCCGGTGCGTGTTCTTCATGTGAACAATTTGTATATGTGCAGAAATAAATTTTTTTCCAGCATATTTCTTATCACAATAATCACAGATGCATACTTTATCTGTACTACCTCGCATGCCAACCTTAATTTTTTCATCACTCTTTTTATTTTTTACTTCTACTTTTCCTCTCTTTTTAGAATGTGTATTATTCCTATTTCTCTCTAAGTTACAACATAGTTTCACATGGTAAAAATAGCAGGTTTGATTTCGGAATATCTTATCACAGCTGGGGCAGGATTTAGATGAATGAACAGAGATATGAGCTCTAAAAGCATTTGGACTTCGGAAACTCCTTCCACAATCTCCACAAGTGCAAGATCCTTGTGAGTGAGCCTTCCGTAAATGTTGCATATACTGGCTATATGAACGTAACAATGCAGGGCATTTCTTGCAATCATAGGGCTCATGATTGTGTTCTTCTCTTAAATGTAACACCAATTCATCTCGGGTCATAATCTTAGCACAAATGTAACAAGCTCTTTTGAAATCTGTAGACTCTTTTAAGTGTTGATAAAATTGCTGTTCATATAAAAACTTTTTACCACAATCAGGACATTGACAACGGTGCTTTTTGACAGTTACATCAACAGCTTTCTGTTTTTTCTCCGGATTCACTCTCATAGACAGTCTCTTGGCAGCTGACTTACTATTTGAAAAATTATTATTATCATTAATCATGACAATCTGATCAGAATCTATTACTGCAAATAGAGTTTTGCATTTTTCCCTATTTTTCGTTAGGGTGTCAAGTAGCTGCAGCACTGCATCCCATTTATTGGCTGCTTGTCTGCAGTTCCTCCGAAATTCAGCTGCATTTATAGCCGATAATGAGCAAGTTGCACACAGGCTGACAGGTAGGTCCTCATTCATCAGCACCTGTAATCACCGTATCAGTCAAATGACCATGATGTGGTGTATGTAGCGATATTTTCTTGGACTCTAACGATGTTTTAGTCAGAATTGAAATTCCCTCTTGTTACAAGTTACTCTTGAGCAGCCACTATTATAGGAGTTAAATATTATCGCAATTCATTAGTATTTGTAATAGCTGTGTACCTTACTTATTTTAACCTATAAACCCTCACTTTGCTTGGATATGATTTCAATGTAGCATTAAATATCGCCTAGATCCCTCCTGACATTCCTTGTTTTCTGTTCGTAGTTTCATCACAATTAGTTCTGCCATTACGAAAAATTTGCCAGACAGATACACAAAAAAAAGTTGTTTATGTCTTAGTAGCATTATTATTTCAATAATACAGATGAACAATTTAATTTTATCTACATATATATATATATATATATATATGTCCACATACATACATACATAAACACTCACGCCTGTCACCCAGAGGGGTAGGCAGGGACTACGGACTTCCATTTGGCATGATCCTGACATACCTCTTTCGCTTCCTTTACATCCATATATCTACGCATACATGCTCGTCGGTTAAGGGTACTTCTAAAGTGGCCCATTTTCAAAATATTGCCAATTTGGTCGATAAACTTTTTTCTAGGACGTCCCTTCCCAACTCTGCCGTTCACATCCGCCATATAAATTTGCTTTGTCACTCTTTCCTCATTCATTCTTTCTACATGACCAAAGCACCGAAGCATTCCTTTCTTAATCCTGGTCACAACATCATCTTGCATACAACATTTATCTTATCACGCAATTTCTCACCCTGTCATTCAGATTCAACCCTGGCATATTCCTTAAAGACCGCATTTCTACAGCATTTATTCTACTTTCGTGCTTCTTCTGCCACACCCAGCTTTCACTACCATACATTAAGGTAGGGACTACGTCGATTATCCGAACGTCGATCAACCGAACGACGGCTTAACCGAACTGCTACCATACCACGCTGAGATGCACCCCTCCCCCCTTCAACGCCCGCAGTGCCCCGCAGCGCCCAGTGTTGGCCTACATTACTATGTTCAGTACCCTATCGCTGTAACGCTGCCTGTACCTCATCAATTAGTGGTTCAGTAAATGAAGACGAAAACATATCTACTACTTTTGAAGCGTTTATATGCTTGGATTTTCGATGGTTTGAAGCCCAAAATGAAAGCGATCAGTATCAGATATCTGTTCTGAAAAAAGTGCGCAACTTAGCTGCGCGTAAATGTAGGTATCTTGAATCGTCCGGACAATGGAATCTGTATTACAACCACCGCCACCTTTTATTTTCGAAAATAATTTAGTAAATGTGACTTCGGGAAATTTATGCAAAGAATGGGAAAAATGGAAAAAAGCATTCTTGATATATTACGAGGCATGTGAACTAAAAAAAAAAGGATGAAAAAGTACAAATTAACATTTTATTACATATTATCGGAACAGGAAGTGTACGAACAACTATTATTGGAAAATTATAAAAAGGAATTTAAATCGATTAATGAAGTATTTTTGAAATTTGATACATTTTTTCTTCCACAAAAGAATGTGACGATGATATGACACACATTTTTCACTCGTGATCAACGGGAGATGGAGACAACCGAGCAATATGTTTTCGAATTAAACAAAATGGCGGCAAGATGCGAATTTAAAGATTTATGTCAAGATTTGGTACGAGATAGACTCATATGTGGTATACGAGATGGATGTATGAGAGAAAGGCTGTTAAGGGAGCCTGACTTAACGTTAAAGAAAGCAGTGGAAATTTGCAATGTAGCCGAAATGTCGCGAGCCCAGGCCATCAATATAAAGTCAGAGAAGTCGGACCACCACGTGCATGAAATAAAACGTAATTCCGAGCAAGATGAACGTGACGCAGAAATTAATTGGGTGAACCGTCAACGTGTCACCCCCCGCACCACCAGCGCCAGCAACGAGCGCGTAGCGTCGGCAGCGGAGGTGTGCGGATGCCGCGATCCTCTAAGTCCTCAACCCACCCTCGGGATGAAGGCGCAAGTGCATCGTCCCGTCCCGTCCAGGTACGATCGCAGTTGTTGGAACTGCGGTTTGTCACACGAGAAATACAGTTGTCCCTCCTATGATCAGCAGTGCCGTAAATGTCATCGGATGAATCATTATTCGTGGATGCAGAGTTTATGAAGTAAAGGAGGACTCACCGATCAGGTAAATATCAATTACGGTAAGGACTGGTTGGTGAAATTAAAGATAAATAATAATTTTCTAATGTTCAAGCTGGATACTGGGGGGATGTGAATGTTTTGCCCAAGAAGTATACGGGATGTTTGCCAGGAAATTACAAAATTCAGGTGAGACATGATATTAAACCCGTAATACATGCTCCGAGAAAATTACCGCTAGCCCTTAAAGACAAAATTAAAAATAAATTAATGGAAATGCAAAAAGAGGGCATCATTGCAAAAGTAGAGGGACCCACCGACTGGGTAAATAGTATGACTGTTGTTAAGAAGCCTAATGGGGACCTTCGAATCTGTCTTGATCCTAGGGACCTTAATATGGCAATTAGGCGCGAACATTTTAAGCTTCCTACTCTTCAAGAAATAACTGCCAATTTATCGGGGGCAAAATATTTTAGTACTCTCGATGCCAAGCAAGGATTTTGGCAATTAAAGCTTCATGAGTCTAGTACAGACCTTTGTACATTCAGTACTGTATTAGGTCGGTTCAAGTTTTTGCGCATGCCATACGGTATATCGACGGCATCAGAAATTTTCCACAAAAAATTGTATGAGCATTTTGATGATATCGAAGGAGTTATTTTATTTGTAGACGATTTGTTAATCTATGCAAATTCTAAAAAAAAACACACGATGAGAGACTTCGGTCGGTTTTACAAAGGTATCGGGAAAATAATATTAAATTAAATTTAAAAAAAATGTAAAATTGGGTTAACGAAACTCACATATTTGGGCCACAAAATAACAAAGGATGGAACATATCCGGATGATTCAAACAATAACAAAACCTCCGCGCACGCGCCCTCCCCGCACGGCTCCAGCGCTCCGCTGCGAGCGCCTTACTTGCAACAATCTGATAGATCAACTGTTTTCACTAACTGTTTTTATCGTACACTTTCCGGCAGGGAAGTGAGACCTCCTGATCGATGGGGCTTCTCCAAACCACAGAAATGACAGTTATGAATAATGTGAGGCAAAAAACTTTATTTTATTTTATTTAATTATAGGATTGATTGTTTATTATTAATTATATATATAAATTATTTTTTATCAATAACAATAAGTCAAAAGCAACAAGTTATTTGGATTTTGTTTTTAATAAATATTATATAAATTACGCATTGATAAATTATATTAATAATAGTGAATAAATTCATGTATTATTATAAATCAAATTGTTAATTTTCATACTTTTATTTAAGAAATGCTTTTATTATATTAAGATTATTATTCGTGGTTTTATAAAAGATTAGTGTTAAACCTCGACCCTTTATAATTTCTTAAGAAGGGGATTGTAGGTATCTTGAAAATAAATTATAATATTTTGCATGCAGGTATATAATAAACACAGTCTTGTCTCAACTCCCGTGTTTGATTGCCGCGTCCAAACAATACAAAATATCAATCAGAGTCTAATATTGATATATCAAATAACAGTAAGAGGCTAGGTTCCACAGAAATCGTAATATTAAGATAATATTATATTATAGTAACTCCTCTGCGACAGACCAAAATTAAGGACTTCCTTAAACATTAATTATATAGGCATACTGTACGTTCAATATTAATTATACAATATTTTTTTGTTTAACCAAGCTCTCTATAATTATTACTATTTGCAACTGTAATACACAAAATTTGTATTATACTTATATAATGAGCTTTATTGGTATATTGGTACATAAAATTATAAAGTTCGATTATCCGAATAATTCGGTTTTCCGAACACCTATGTCCCCCAATTGGTTCGGATAATCGACGCTCTACTGTAATTGTTATTCATATGTATATACTGAAAGATAATCTATTGTGGTAACCTTGTTATGACAGAACAGCGGTTCCTAGTATGAGTAAGATCATTATCCTTAAAAGGAAGCTTCACTTACTTAAAAAATTGTATTTAGTTACTTTAATAAACTATTTATATTTGAACTTTGAATCTATTTAATTTTATGACATTATGCATCAGGTATACAGTGTGTCTGGTCACGACCTAGCGATAATTTAAAGTTACAAAATATACCTAATTTCATCGACGAAAACACCCATATATAGGGGTCTACGCCCCCTCCTGTCGGAATGGCCGCCATTTAAATTTTTTTTTATTCTTGTAGATACCTCTGCCAAAAGATGCAGATTTCTCTGGACAGAGAGGTCCCACAGATGTAAAAAAAATGTTATTTAAAAGGTAAAAATAGCATCTATCAAATAAAAATAAACATCACGGAAAGTTTTCCCTACAAAATATCTTAAAACATTTACAATGCTAATTTAAGTAAAAAAAATTGACTATTTTTTTTATTTTTCTTAACATATTTCAAAAACTAGCACATTGATACTAAATTTTTTAATACTGTCCTAATACTTAAGGATATTACTTACAAATTGACATTAAAATTATTGTTCTTAATTGCATAACTCGAGAGTTAGGGCTGTTTGAATATGACCCTTTTGCGAGGGTCATGTATGTAGAGCCTCATATGAGCGCTATTAATTTTCGATAATGGATTAAATAAAAATACACTATAACTTTTAAGAAACTTTTAATGGCATTAAGTACTATTATTAATTTAATAATTGTTCAAAATGTCCACCTCTATTCTGTAGACAGGCTACTGACCTTACAGCCATTTATTGTGTGGCCCTTGATATTAAGACTATGTCGGATCTTATGTCAACCGCAATCGTCATTATTTTGTCGAGCAGTTCTTGTCTGCTATTTGGGACTGTAGCATAAACCCTCTGCTTCA